ACCACTCCCATCAACGGGGCACTGATGTTTCCCACGATCGAGTAGTCCACCAAATCTGAATAGACGTACAATCCACTGGCTATCGAATCTTGTCCCCAATGAATCTCGGATCCTTCCATAGTGTAGGTGACGAGGCGTCGAGATTCCACTCTATCGGGATTCACAACTTTTTCCCACTTGCCCATCACTCTATGATAGAAAGGATCAAATGAATGATCAACTGGATCAAAACTCCACTTGTCTCCATTCAACTTTAATTTTTTCATGATGTTTGGAGACAGCAAGGGAGTGTAGTAGTTGGGTAATATATCCAAGTCATCTCGCGGGTTGTAGGTCGTACTCGACATGTGAACCTTCTGCCCCACTCTCCACATTCTCATATCGGGAAACGTCGAGAGGTTGATTGCAGTGGTGGAGGTGTGAGATCGCACGTGATGACTCCCTTGCTTCACCAAAGGACCGTCCCTGTGAGCATCATCGTAATTGAATCGGGACAAAATACCTCTGGACTCGGTCATGATGTCGTAATACTTGAAGGTGGGACCTCGTTCGTCGAAAGAGTAGGTGTCCATCTTCAAAAAGATTTCCTCTCTAGGTCCAAGCACAAACTCAAATTCCATACTGCTATGACCGGACTCCCGCGGGCAGACGTTGTTGAGAGCTTCCAACAATCCCCAGAGCGTGTAATATCCCGACGGGATTTTTACGGTGTACGAAGCAAGCTCGGTATCGATCCCATCGGCTCCTTCGTACATTTTTTGGAAGGTCAGCGTGTTGTACTTCTCATCCACGTAGGCCCCTAAATGGATTCCTGGGGTGGTGTGGAGGAGACACAAGTGAATCTTCTTGTTGATGTCAGCTATCATCTCGTCCGGTGAGTCGTAGATCTTTTTCTCCAGATCCATACTCCACAATCTATCCACTATGTCCCTCCTYGTKTCSTATTTCCCTACTCCCACCTCCGGAATAATATCATCATCTACCGCACCTTGCTCGGCGAGTGTGGGGGTGTAGGAAACGAGAGGAACGTCAATGCCGCTTCCCAGTCGTCAGGATCGTAGTTTAATCTTCCTGGTAACACCACGGTATACGTGTTGGCTGTGTTGTCCGGATAACGACTCTTGGAAGCGTTGCTGGGGAGCACCAGGTAGCGTTCTCCCATGTCYCTTTGTTTCCGTCGAAAATGGAGCRTGACCGTCACTACAGCGTCAGGGTGAGCTTTGRAGAGTACTCTTGAATCTTGTACAAGGGTGGAGTGCCAGGCACGCGTCTCGAGATCACAAAGACTTCTTYGGTCCACCCAGTTGTGTAGCCCTTTTTAAACGTTTCAGCCTTCTTGCTCAACCGAACGCGATCTYCCGGTTTGAATCGGTAACGCATTGGTTTTTTCTCCGTCTTGTCGTACAGAGTGTGCCACACSTCTTGCGCATTGTCGTGCGTCACCGAATCGGGACTGCGTCGGATAGATCGATGGTACGCTSCATTGTATCCTTTCACAAAATCGTCCAAGACGTCCACGTACCTATTCGTGTTCCGGGCTGTGAAGTAACGCCACATGCGTTCTTTGAAGGTGCGGAACCGTTCGACGATCTGCGCTTTGGTGTCCCCGTAAACCACGAAATGACGAATGCCTCGTTGTTCCAACAGCGATTTCAAAGTGCGATTCAAAAATTCCGTTCCTTCGTCCGTCTGCAAGACGTCCGGTTCACGACCGTCTTCAAAAATGTCTCGGAARKCAGCAGTGACTTCCTGGGCGTTCTTCTTGCGGATGGGGCGTCCACCACGATAAGCAAATACTCCACTCCGTCGTTGTCTTCTCGCAATTTTTTCACGTCGGCCAAATCCGCTTGCCATTGCTGATCGAGTCCGTCCACCATGACGCGACGCCGCGGAAACCGTCGCTGAACGGGTTTGTGCAACGTGTACCCCGGCTGCGTTCTGAGCCACTGACGAACCTGCCACGGCTCGATTCCTTTTTTTCG